ATTCCTTATGGACAGATTCTAATCCTGTTATTTCTACATTCAGTGTGGTACAATAGGGAGCTGGATTTGGAGTCAGGAAAAGTATGGTGCAATTTCTGGTTCTGATCATTTCAACAGTACCTCGTGTGACTGTGTGACAGGTCATCAAGCCTCTCTGGGCTTCAGTTCCTCATCTGTAAAATGACAGGGTTGTATGGATAACCTGTAAGATTCCATCCAGCTTGAAATCTATTATCTTATAATCCTATGATCAAAAATCTTCGGTGAGTTTCTCTTTCCCACCAAGTAGACTTGCTAACAATTAGAGCTACCCCAAAGTAAAATGGGTCCCTTTTCCCTCCAAAAAATCCAAAGCAAAATTCACTTAAGTATCATCAAAAGGCCAACTCAGGAGGGCATCAGAGTTTGTTTTAGTCACCAAAGTAAGATCACTGATATAGAGCTGGTTAGAATCTTAGAGGTCATCTAATCCAACCTCTTCACTTAATATATGAAGAAACTGAAACGGGGAGGAGGGGAGGAAGGTGAATGAAATAATTTATCCCATGTTACTTCAGTTGTCATTGCTAGAGTGAGGATTTGAACTCTGATCTTCTGTTTGTCAAAATGCACCACTCTTTCCATTGAATGGAAAAGAGAAACTGGGTACAGAAGTGGGATTTAGAGTGCCCCCAGAGGGTGACTCATTTTGTAACAGGATAGGAAAAGAGCTGACTGTTTTTCTTATGGATATTGTTTCCCCAAACACAATCCTTTGTCAATGGCTATTTGAACTCACAAAATCTCAGAGTCAAGGGAATATGAGAGCCATCTAATCCAACTGATACCTGAAAAGTAATCTTCCCTCTGCCTGCATAGCAAGTGGCCTTCCACGTTTTAAAATAGTAACTAATGGGGGGCAGCTAGGTGGTGCAGTGGATAGAGCAGCAGCCCTGAAGTCAGGAGAACCTGAGTTCAAATCCGGCCTCAGACACTTGACGCTTACTAGCTGTGTGACCCTGGGCAAGTCACTTAACCTCATTGCCTAGCCAAAAAAATAATAATAATAACTAATGTTCATGTCTTGTTTTGACCTTTCTACTACCTTGTGTAATAAGTACTGTAAATACCCTGCCCCCAATTTAAAAACAAGGAAACTGAGGCTCAGAGAAGTTGTGCCTTTCCCATGACCACTCAAACATCAAATGTCAGAGGTAAGATTTGAACCCAGGTCTTTGTGACTCCAATTTCAGCACACTACATGCTGCACAAGAAGACTTCTAATGGGGAGCAACCCTCTACCTCATAGACAGCCTATTCTACTTTCACATAGTCCTAATTATAAGGAGAGGGAAGCTAGGTGGTGCAGTGGTTAGAGAAGACTCATCTTTGTGAGTTCAAATCTGGCCTCAGACACTTATTAGCTATGTGACCTAACCCTGTTTGCCTCCCTCTCCTCATCTGTAAAATGAGCTGGAGAAGGAAATGGCAAACCACTCCAGTATCTTTGCCAAGAAAACCCCAAATGGGGTCACAAAGAGTCAGACATGACTGAAAATAATTGAACAACAACAACATGGTCAGACCTGCTCTTTAGGGAGATCAGTCTGACAGCTGAGCAGATGTGCTAGGAAGGGAAGAGACCTAAGGCAGAGAGGCTAACCAGCAGGCTATTGTAATAAAGAAGTATTTCCTTGCATGAAACTTTAATATGCTTTTTTTGTGATTTCCATCCTTTGTTACTAGTTCTGCCCTCTGGCCAGAATAAATCTAATCCCTCTTCCATGTGACATGGTCCTACAAACACTTGAAAACAGCTATCATCCTTGCCCTCCTCCCCCAAGTGTTTTGGTTTTTTTTTTGTCCTGGCTAAACATCCCAGCTCCTTCAACCAAGTCCATAAAAGGCAAGATCTCAAGGTCTTTCACCGTCCTACTTGTCTTCCTTTGAATACTCTTTAGTTTATCCATGGCATGTCCTAAATATAGGGCACACAACTGACCATAAACCAGACTAGGTCAGAGTACAGTGGGCCTAAAACCTGCTTGGTCCTAGATTTAATTCTGCTTCCCCACACCCCCACCCCCAGTAAGGCTACTTAATGCAGCCTAAGATGACAGGAGTTGTCTTTTGCTTTTTGTTTTTTTTCCCACTGCCCATATCATGCTACTGCCTCATACTGAATCCATTTTCAGATGGGTGGCTGCCTGACCACACCTCCTCTACTGTATGCTGGTGAAGTAGGCTGTTTGAACTCAAGTGTTAGACAGCATTTATCTCTATTAAATGTTATCTTATTTGGTTTGGCCCTGTGTTCCAGATTAGGAGGAAGCAAACTACAGCTCACAAGTCATATCTGGCCCACAGCATGGCTTTTGTATGGCCAGCAAGTTAATTACATTTTCTGTAATATAATCCCCACCTTTTCCCCAACAGTAATTTGCCAACTTCTGTTCTAGATTATGGAGAGCTTTTTGGATCCTGTCTCTGTCATCCAATGCATTATTTGTCCCGCATAGCATCAGGTCACATACACAGGTGTTAAGCAGCCCATCTGTGCCTTTCTCCAAGTCATTGATGATCTGAAGAAGAGACAGGAGGCAGCATGTGCCAGGTAAGTCAAACCATTATCACTGCCTTGACCACCACCTCTTCTTGGACCCTGATGGAGACATGCCAAGACCCTGAACCCCAGACACTTGAGAAGAATGCTTCCAGCCCATTGCCTGCAGCCATCACCATGGAAAGCAATTCCTATGGAAAGGCAGCCTGGCAAATGCTCTTGTATCCCTACTCAAGACCCAGAAAAGAAAGTTTTTGTCTCCAAAGTCCTTGGCACTGCCAAATCGGAAAGTGATGTGAATTTATCAGTGGAAATGACAATAAAAAAGAGGTTTTAACACCTGCATCCTAAGGACCATGGGACTTTTCCATCTGACTGGAAGCTAAAACCTTCCACATGTGTTATCTCCCCCATTAGAATGTGAGCTCAGGGGCAGCTAGGTGGTGAGGTGGATAGAGCACTGGCCCTGAAGTCAGGAGGACCTGAGTTCAAATCCGGCCTCAGACCAAACATTTGACACTAGCTGTGTGACCCTGGGCAAGTCACTTAACCCCAATTGCCTAAAAAAGAAAAAAAAGAATAGAATGTGAGCTCCTTGAGAGCAGATTAATAGCTTATTTTTCTATTTGCACATCTAGTACTTTGCAGATTTAATAAGTTCTTAATACATGCTTTATTAATTCATTCATTGATAAAAATATTAAATAGCACAAGGCTAAGCATAGATCCCTATTTCACTACTAAAGACTTCACTCCACATGAGTACAGAATCATTGATGATGTCAATATTATTGAATCATTATATTAATACTGAATTATTAATGTTGTTAATATTGTATCATTAATGATAAATCTTTAATTCTATGCACCCAACCAGTTCTAAATATATCTAACTGGACTGCCTACTTTAACAGGGACTTCAGAGCATGAACAGATCACCTAACATGGAAACACCCTGCTTCTGGAGGAAAACATCCTTCATTCCCCTACCACACAGATTCGAGTAGCCTCCTTCTATTGGTTGTGTAGCTAGAACAAGCTGCATCTTTAAAACTACCAAACTGGCAGTCTCAATCTCTTTCCTAAGCATTCTTTCCTGTGTATTATCCAAAGAGGCTGAAAGTTCACCCACAGAGCAGGCACCATGAAATGACTGGGCAAGCTGAAGGGTTACCTTTTTAGGCCACATGGTCCTGAAAAACAGGCTAGGAATTTTTGTTTGTTCTATTTCATATGACCTTTTTCAGTTCTTTTTCTTTTTTTTTTTTTGTCGAGACAATGGGGTGAAGTGACTTGCCCAGGGTCACACAGCGAGTCAGTGTCAAATGTCTGACGCTAGATTTGAACCTGGGTCTTCCTGAATCCAGGGCTGGTGCTCTATCCACTCTGCCATCCAGCTGCCCCCCTTTTTCAGTTGTAGGTGCAGGAGACAGAATCCCCACTAGACCCAGAATCAAGCCATGATAACCTTGGGACTATATTACATAACAGAATACAGCAAACTTACCTGAAAAGTAAAAACTATTAGTTCACGGATCATTCAAAGACTGCTATCAGTTTTTGGCCCATGAGCTACAATTTGCCAACCTCTGCTCTACAGGAACTGAGGTAAGCTATGAACCTAATCCTCTTCCTCTTCTAAGAGGTAGTACCAGGCCAGATTATGCCTCACACATTGGGAAGTAAGGTTGTATGTTTGTTATCGTATTTTTGAAATCAGTATTTGTCAAAGCTAATCCATTAAGTGTTTAAATCATATTGGGTTAGAGGATACCTCCTACATTGAAGGAAAACCATCATAGGGGCTAAAGCCAATGGCAGAGAGCCTGGACACCCCAAACACTCCCTAAGATACTTGAAAACCTTGGAGGAGGGATGAAATGTAACCTACCTTATCTTCAGGAAGGGGCCAAAGCAATTACATCAAAACAAATAGTTTCATTTTGTCTACAAGAAAAGTATGAAACTCTTTTTAAGAAAAAATGCTTCCATAAAATCCATTCAGACTTTATCTTACAGGGCAGCTAGGTGGCACAGTGGATAGAGCACCAGCCCTGGATTCAGGAGGACCTGAGATCAAATCCGGCCTCGGACACATAACACTTACTAGCTGTGTGACCCTGGACAAGTCACTTAACCCCACTGCCTAACCAAAAAAAAAAAAAAAAAAACAGACTTTATCTTACAGTATTCCCCATGCTCTATGAGTGTAGTAGCCCTGATAGAATAGGGATCTACTCTCTCTCTCTTTTTAAAAATTGCCACATATTTGCCCTTCTCCAGTCCTGGAGTATGTCCAGGTGCCCCAGCCAGCCGTGATTTTTTAAAGGTCACTGACAAGTCCTTCAGCAAGCACATCTGCCTCATCTTTTAGTGCCCGGCAATGTTGTTCTTCTGACCCTGGGGACTTGGACTGATTCAGGACATTGAGGTACTCTCTGACTGTCTTCCTACTTACCTTGAGGTTAACTCCCTCTTCATCATTTTTGTTCCATTCTCAGTTCAAAAATCATTTTCCTCCATAGGGGAACCTGAAGCAAAATAAAAATGAAGCATCTCTGTTACACTTCACCATTATCCCTTCAATCCAGAGCAGTGCTCCTCTCTGTTCTTTGATCTTCTTTCCCCAGATACAGTTAACATTGAGGTGACAATGACAGCGATTAAGTCAGGAACACAGGGCAAAGACTGCCAGCTCTTTATGGTAGGTGTGTCTTTGAGGCGTGCTCCAAGCTTCTCTTCTCCTTTCAAGGGCACCCTCATCCTTCCAGTCACCTGTGTAGACAAGCCTCTGTCATCCTCAATTCCTTTCTCTTCTTCATACAAATTATCTGATCAGTTGTTAAATGTTATTTCCATTTCCACCAAACCTCTTGCATCCATCCCTTTCTCTCCATTCACAGTCATCACTCTCGTTCAAACCTTAATCAGCCCTTACCTGGATGTTGAAGGAGTCTCCTCACTGGTCTCCTAGCCTGTGTTTTCTCCTTCATTTCAACCCATCTACCACACAGCCACCAAAGTGATTTTCCCGTAAAGTGCCTAACCGGTCATGTACCCTCTTTGCTCAATAAACTCCAGCCTTGTTACACACTACTCTCCTCTGACTACTCTATAGTCCAGCCATATTGGCTTGAACCCTGTTCCTCATACAGAGACAACATCTCCTATATCTGTGATTTTGCACTGGCTGTCCCCAGAGCAAGGATGCTCTCCCTCGTCATCTCTACCTCTTAGAATTCCTAGTTTCCCTCAAGACACAGCTCAAATGCCAACTTCTCCATGAAGTCTTTCCCACCCCACCACCCTATGCTGCTAGTGTACTCCTCCCTCAAGGTTATTTGTATCTGAGATATAGATACAGATATACATACACATGTCATATGTGATATATGTAGTGTGCATATGGTATATACATGTGTGATGTGTCATATATACCATCTATCTATGGGATATGTGTGTGTGTATATATATGTACATATATAAGCTCTAGTTAATTACTAGCTATTATTATTTCTATGTTTATGGTATCTAAGTCAGTGGGCGTACCTAGTGAAAGAGCTGAGAATGTATTAATTAGCCCTAAGTGGTCAATTTCACAAAAGAAAGCTAACCTTCCCTTTAAAGAAAATGAAACCCCAGCAATGGAAGACAGCTCCAGCAGATGGCAGTAGGTCAACAGAAAAGAAACTCAGCGGCAGCTCCAAGTCACAGCCAGCTAGCTTTTCATGGATGCAGCAAGCAGCAGCTTTGGGAGTAGCCAATGGCAGCGAGGCACCAGGCAGCTGCTGAGAGATGGGGAGCCCAGTTCCCTACTCCGAGTAGTACACCTGAGGGTGCGAGCTGTCCAGAGTGCCATAGGCATCTGTGAGCGATTTCACCCCTTTGTGTTTTGGGAGGCAATGCGTTATCATTTTTTATTTTTAATGCCTTTGCTTTTCTCTCATAGTCAAGTTCATTAGAGCTAAGTTCAAATCCAGCCTCAGATATTTAATAGCTCTGTGACCCTAGGCAAGTCACTTAACCTCTGTAGACCTCAGTTGCCTCAACAGTAAAGTAGGGAACGTAATGGCACCTACCTCCCAGGTTGTTGTGAAGATCAAATGAGATAATACTTGTAAAGAGTTTAGCACAGTGCCAGGCACATAGTAAGTCTTAATAAAGGGTAGCTATTATTGTAGTTGCTTTTATAATTATTTATTAATGGCTTATTGGATTCAATGGATCCTGCCTGTCTCCAGGTATATGGGTATGCATATATACACACATACATACATGTATGTATATATATTATATATATGTAGGGGGTATGTAGATGGGCTGGGGCCATATTCACATAATTCATATCAAATTGGCCAATCTGATGATTGTGAGGTAGAACCTCAGAGTTGTTTTAATTTGGATTTCTCCAATTATTAGTGATTTAGAGCATTTTTTTAAACATAGTTATTAATAGCTTACATTTCTTCTTTTGAAAACTGCTTATTCATATCCTTTGATCTTTTATGAATCAGGATTGTCCCTTTTTCTTAGATGTTTAAATCAGTTCCCTATATGTATTAGAAATTAGACCTTTATATTTGAAATGAATCTGCCTTGTTTTGGTTTTTTTTTTTTTGGTATTAATAAGTTCTGAGATTTTTTTCCCATGCCTTTGATATCTTCCCTTTTTTTAGATATTTTGTAAAATCTGTCCGTCACTGCCCTGATAATACTGCCTGTGGGACAGAGTTCCTGTATGTATATTTGACCAAATCTGGCTGCTTTTTCCTTTCCTCTCTTTAGTGCCATTTCTAATTCCTCTGGAAGCACCACAGTAACAATGATGTTAAGGTTCAAGTATGGTGCTTCCATTAACTTTGATGGAAAAAAAAAAAGTTTGTTATAATAATTTTTGTAAATCTTTCTTATTTTTCTTCTCTTTGTAGAACTGTTTTCATCCTTAAATTCCCTTGGGATGACTTTGCTTGGTTGGATACCTTATGAAGCTTTCTTTGAACTAGGTGTACCCTCCACTGCCTCTCTATGCCTTATGAGACAACACTGCTTATAGTCATCCATCATCCTTCTCTGTAACAATTTACCAATGGCTTTATGGTCTATCTTAGTATGGCATTTGGCAGCCATCTCTCTCTGCTGGCCAAGTAAGTAAGGTGTTTGCTGACTAAAGTGCTTTCTGGGATTTTTTGGTCTCCTTGTTGCAGCAATTAATTTATATTGGTTTAACTTTTGGACAAAATTATTATAGTCAGCATTAATACTATAATCCTATCATTCTATTATGTTATGAAAAGCAAGAATTTTTAAATGTTTATATGAAACCATATATATACTTCCATTATTTACAGCTCATTTTTAAAAATATATATATATTTATATGTATATATTAATGTTAACACATCTATATGCTTCTGTCACACTCTACTGAGATATTTAAAACCATCTAAGCATGAAAGCAGAGAAAACATTCATTTTATAGTCAGAGGACCTGTGTTCAAATCCTGCTTCTGACTTGTACGGTGACCTTAACCTTACTTAACCTCCCACAGTTTCAATCTCCTCATCTATAAAATGATAGGGTTGGATTTGATGGCTTCTGAGGTTCTTTCCATCGCTAAATCTATAATTCTATTGCCCTATAATCAATCAATAAATTTAATTAAATCAGTGATGAAGTAAGGAAGGAAACAAGTATTTATTAAGCACTTACTATGTGCTAAGTGCTGGGTATACAAAATACAAACAAAAAGACAGTCCCTGCCCTCAAGTAGCTTACTTTCAAATAGGGGGAGGAGGGCAGAGAAGGCAACACCCAAAGAAGAGCTGAAAATTTGAAGAGGGAGAGGAGAAGAGAGAACAAAGGCACACAGATTAAAGGGCAGCTTTGAAAGCCAGAAGGGAAGGTTTTGAAGGGGCAGGAGGGAAATGAAGGTAGACTGGCTTGTGCCACTGGCAAAAATCTGAGAAGAAGGGCGGGCCTTGTAGAGGATTATCACATGGTGAGAAGGCCACAACAATGGTAGGTGGGATGTTCCCAAGGCAAGGGGCCACCAAATGGTGATAGAAGTTTCAAGATGAGCTAGCAAAAGAGGCTTGGTTCTGAAATCCACTAAGTTGGGAATAAGGCCAGGAGGGAAATGATTCGGCATTTGACACTTTTCTGTCTCTCTGCATGATCTCCCTCAAAGCTGATGTGTTCTAGCAATCTGTGAAGACTAAGAAACTCCCCTTGCTACCAGTCAGCTCCTCCTGCTGGACTCAAGACTTCTCATCACAGGGTCATCTGCAAGCCTGGACACGTCCATGTCAAGAATCCTTCTGCAAGCTAGTGCACACATCTCTGTTTGGCAAATATATAAATTAGTTTCCTATGAGTTTTCTGTGAGTTGTTTTCAGTTATATGATCCCATGATGCTCCTGTTTCTGACCTAATGATCATTTAAAAGGCAAAAGATTTGTATGAAAAAAATGCAACTTATCTAGCCATGTGTATTTTCTGAGGGATGTTTCTGGTATTGTAAAGTTATAGGTGACATTAGAAAGCTAGATTTGATTGTTCTTAATTATGACTAAGGCACAGCAAGACTTCTAGCCACCACAATATGGTTAGCTTAGCAAAGACAGTAATATTAAGACAGAAAAGTGAACTGTTATATTTTTCAAAGGTTTTTACCCATAAGAATTAAACAAAAAAGGTTAGCCATTAGTTACATAAACCCATACCCTAAGCATTCAAATTAACCAAGGTTATATTTTAATATTGTTTATAGGCCAAAATATGCTTGCATTTATGTACTACAGAAAAATAAAATAGTGCAAAGAAATAATTTATATTAGGTTTTAATTTGTTAATATTTGTGTACCAAATTCTCTCATTAAAGGTAAGTTACATTAAAAAAAAAAAGAAAGAAAGGTGTTTGGTCACTTACTCAGGAAAGCAAACACAAAGTGGAAAAGGCAGTTCTCCTCGGGGGGGCAGAGCCAAGATGGCGGAGGGAAAGCAGTGACTTGCTTGAGCTCTCCCTCAAACCTGTCCAAATACCTATAAAAATGGCTCCAAACAAATTCTAAAGCAGCAGAACCCACAAAAAAACAGAGTAAAACAAATCTCCAGCCCAAGACAACCTGGATGGCTGACCAGAAAGGTAAATCGAGCCGGGCTGGGAGAGGAGCGAAGTGCGGCGTGGGCGCGCAGGCTGCAGCAACCCTGGAGCAGGCCTCAGAGGACTGAATCGTGGACAGCTGTGTCAGTTTCCAGACTTCTCAACCCACAAATGCCAAAGACAACTTAGGTCAGTGGGAAAAATCTGTGACTGCGGTGAGAGACGAAGCTAGGTCTCAGCCACCCTAAGGGCAGCAGCTGCCTCCTGAGCTTCTGGCCCACAGACTGAAGGGGAATCGAGTGGCTGATCAGAGGGGGATTGCAAGGATTTCTTTGCCAGGGATGAGGCAGGAATCTCTTGCTTTGCCCGTTCCTGGATCTGAGTCACAGTTCTGATGGGCGGTCCTGGGGTGAGAAGGAGCGCTGACATGGTGGAGCTTGTTGTGGCGGTGGAAAGGAAACACCTCGCCCCTTATCATAGCACCTTGGAAGAACTGAAAATTTTCAGATCCCTAGAAGTATCTCTGAAAACAGCTGTACAAACCCCCCAAGCTTGGGACAGTACATTCTCCACATTGGAAACAGACTCCTACCTTAACAAAGAGTTTAAAACTCAAGTAATTGGTTGGGATCATGAGCAAGCAGCACAAAAAAGAGTCAGACTATATTATCTTACTTTGGTGACAAAGAAGATCAAAACATACAACCAGAAGAAGAAAACAAAGTCCAAGTTCCTACATCCAAAGCCTCCAAGAAAAATATGAATCAGTCCCAGGCCTTGGAAGAGCTCAAAAGGGATTTTGAGAAGCAAGTAAGAGAAGTAGAGGAAAAACTGGGAAGAGAAATGAGTGATGTAAGGAAATAATGAAAAGCAAGTTAATAGCTTGCTAAAGGAGACCCAAAAAAATACTGAAGAAAATAACACCTTAAAAAATAGCCTAACCCAAATGGCAAAAGAGGTCCAAAAACCCAATGAAGAAAAGAATGCCCTAAAAACCAAAATTGGACAAATGGAAAAGGAAGTCCAAAAGATTACTGAAGAAAATACTTCCTTAAAAATTAGAATAGAGCAATTGGAAGCAAGTGACTTTATGAGAAATCAAGACACTGTAAAACAAATCCAAAAGAATGAAAAATTAGAAAACCATGTGAAATATCTCATTGGAAAAACAACTGACCTGGAAAATAGATCCAGGAGAGAGAATTTAAAAATTATTGGACTATCTGAAAGCCATGATAAAAAAAAGAGCCTAGACATCATCTTTCAAGAAATGATCAAGGAAAACTGCCCTGATATTTTTGAACCAAAGGGCAAAATAAAAATTGAAAGAATCCACCGATCTCCTCCTGAAAGAGATCCCCAAAGAAAAACTCCTAGGAATATTGTAGCCAAATTCCAGAGTTCCCAGGTCAAGAAGAAAATATTACAAGCAGCCAGAAAGAAACAATTTAAGTATTGTGGAAACACAATCAGGATAACACAAGATTTAGCAGCTTCTACATTAAGGGACCACATGGCATGGAATATAATACTCCAGAGGGCAAAGGAGATAGGCTTACAACCAAGAATCACCTACCCAGCAAAACTGAGTATAATTCTTCAGAGGCAAAGTGGAAAAAGCAGCTGGGGCCCAGGCGAAAGCTTGCCTAGTTGAGTGCATACACCACATGGAGTAGTTACCCAGCCCTCCAGGCCCTCAGGGGGAGTCAAGTGCCACCTTGGACTGTCAAAGCAAGAGAGGTAGCCAGAAATTTTCTCTACTTTTTAATTGAAGCTGCATTAAACAGGGAGAGGGAGTAAGGGATCATCCAGTGTTTTCCAAGTCATACCAAAGCTCCAGCCTCCTCAGCACTGAGTCAGGCAGAAAGGTCAGCTATGGCCAGTCCCCTGGTTTGACTTCCATTACAGCTGTCAATAACATCCTTGAATAAGCCAAGTAGTCAGATCATTAGATCAAAGGATATGGAGAGCTCTATCCATCTTATTATATAACTCTATATCATAAAAAGGAAAAAAATTGCTATATATTCCTCTTTATAAAGAGGCAGATTAAAAGGACAATAAATAGTAATAATGCCTGCATATGCATTAATTGCTTTTTTAGTTTTGTGATTTATTGCTGATATAATTATATAACAATTGTTATTAAGTAGGCATTTAATAAATACTTTACCCCTCCCCCAACCCTTTACTAGAGAAGTGGTAGATTATGAGTACATGTTGTTTCATATGCTATCAGATATAGTTGTTTTGTCACCTTTTTTTTGCTCATTTTTTTCCTTTTTTTGCAATCACAATACACATTTTTATCATAAACCTTAATTTGTTTCTGCTTCTCTTGGAAAATCTTATATATCCTATTTTGTGATCTCAATAAGCTTAATATACAGTACTGTCATTAAGAATTTATAATAATATTAATTATATAATATATTAGCATATAATAATTATTATAATAAATACTGTGCTAAGAGCTTAACAAATTCTTCACAACAATCCTGTGAAGTGGGTGCTTTTATCCTCATTTACAATTGAGGTAACTAAGGCAGACAGTGATTCAGTGACTTGAACACATCACACAGCTAGGAGGTATCCTAGGCTAGGTCTCCCTGACTCCAAGCTCAAAGTCCTAACCACTGTGCTACTTGTTTATATTGTGTCAACAATTCTCCAGAGCCAAAACTTACAAGTAACCCAAAAAGGATTCAAAAGCCATTCTACCCTCTACACTTCCCGCACCCCTGTCCTACCCCATTCCCCCTTCTTGAACACAGGTGACTAAATCTGGCCGTTCTCCTGTAACTTCCACACCAGCAAATTTTCCTGGAAAACTGACATAAAGGACTATATTCCCCTTCCCCATTGCTTACTGATGAGTAATACTCCTTCTGCCATGTCCATGAGCTACCTGTTTTTGTTATGAGCAGGTTTATTCTAACTACACTTGCTTATTGTAAACGAATAAGAAAGATGCATTGTTCAGGGGACCCTTGGCTCACCTGGTAGATTGGTAGGTCTATGAACCCATGGAGAAGTCAGGTTGAGAAACATTAATTAAGCAGCTATCATGTGGCAGGCACTATACTCCAATCACTCACACACCAGAATCTATACAGACCTTCCATCGATAGCCTCCCACCAAACCAGAACTAAAGGAAAACTAATTCAACAACAACCAAAAAATATATATGAAAAGAACCATTAGTAAAAATGCAAAGCAACATCAAAAAACTAAAATTATCCGTAACAAAGGAGCCTGATAAATGCAGTCTAGCAAAGATGATCAGGTCCAGAAAGTCACAGAACTCAAAAAGCAATTAATGCTTATACAGGCATTATTACTATTTCTTGTCCTTTTAAAATGATTCTTTATAAATATGAATATATTGCAACTTTTTCCCTTTTTAACAATTGCAACACATTTTTATCTCAAACCCTAATTTGTTTGTTTCTGTTTCTCTTGCAAAAATCATGCACATCCTATTTTGTGATCTCAATAAGTTTAAAATACATTGTCATTAAGAACTTATTATTGCCTTGATTTGGAATTTGGCTCCATCTGCTTGTGGGCATTTTTTTTTCATTTTGAGTTTTTTGCTGAGAAATTCTTCTAGGCCATTTTTGGTTTTTAATGATATTCTTCTTCCCTGAAATAATATACTCAAATTTGCCTGTTAAGTTAATTTCAGATCTGATATGTACCGTTAAGACATATGTCTTCTTTTGTCTAGCTTTGTCATTTTTTCCTCATTATTTCTAAGAAACCTGATGAAATTCTAATAGGCAATTTTTGATAATTTTTTTTCTTTCTCAGTGCTTGAAGGATTCTTTCTTTGTCTTTGTAATTTTTAAATTGAATAATTAGGTACTGTTGAGACTTGTGCTATGGATTTCTACATGCTGGGATCCTGTCAATTCTTTCTACTTGCAGAATATTATCTTTTCTTGAGCACTCTGGGAAATTGTTCTAGTTCTTCAAATATCATAAGTTGGGGGGCGGGGAGGATTCTTTCTTAATACTCTAGGGAAGGTTTGAACTTTTGACTGTATTTCCTAAGCTTAATATTCTGTGCTGTATATCCGTTGTTTCTTAAGTCTGTAACTTTCTGGGCCTGTTCATTTTTGCTAGACTATATTTATCCTGCTTTCTGCTGCTTCTACTGATCATTTTAGTTCTTCAATGTTGCTTTACATTTTCATTAATTGGTCTTCCCATGTTTTTTTGCTGTTGTTGATTTGGTCTTTAATTTGAGTAAAACATTAGCATCTAATTTATTTTTTATGATGTTTTTGCATTGCTTTTAATAATGTTTTAGCATACATTTCTGTGGATATTTTAAATTTTTGATCTTTTATATTACACAAATGTAAGGAGACTCTAGTTTAAAGTCAGGAGGCAAAGGCCTCTGGGTAATGAATCTTGTGGGCTTGGGGTAAGGTCTAAAAGACTGGAGTCACTGGGATGGAGAAAATTTGGTCACAAGGGCCTCCTTCTAACTGTGAGCATGCTTCTGTAGTAGAAGTCTTCTGTGTGGAAATGGACCCTGGTCTGGGGGCTTCTTTCTGGAAATGTGGTCTCAGTGGTAGTTACTTAGTTACTTACAGGTGTCAAGGACCTTCAGGCAGGAAACAACAGGACAGTATAACTAGTTAAATTATCTATCATAGATATTACCTCATTATGATTTTATGTTGTTCTCAGAAGAGACAGAACCACAAGGGCCTTTCTTCCTTCCTGCTACACTTTTAAAATGAGTGATTAACTGGCCCACTTATAATCAGGCTAACTCTGTACAAGCACAACCAGGTGCTCTCTTGGTTAATAAAGTGGAGAGAGACTGCTTTTCTCAATGGTGGAATGAAGATGAGGATGGCCAAACTCCCCAGCCCATTGATACGTCTCCAAAATCTACAGGTTGAATACACTAAGT